ATGCCACATTTTTCTTCATAGAACCCAGCTTCTCAGATTATTTGCTCAGCATACAGGTTGAATAAGTATGGTGAAAGAATACAACCTTGTCGCACACCTCTCTTAATTTTAAACCATTCATCACCAGATGTAGCATGACTCATACCTGTACAAAAATCCAACTTTTAAAGGAACCAACTCCCCAGATTTGAATGTATTCTCACTTCAAAGAATACTGACAGTAAGCATAGTTGTACATATTTACGCACACTGCAGGATAAGCACTGGACCACTAACCGTAAGTTTGGAAGTTCAAACCCACCAGCTGTCCTTCAGAAACCCTATGGGTCAGATCCGACTCAATGGCATTTTTTAACAACAATAACTACAAGTAGCAATACCAGACATTATAGATAAGCTCCTAAACAAACAAAAAACTCTCTTAAGAAGGAGTTCATTTTCTCTGATAGTTACAACCAAACATTTATTTACCTTAAAAAGTTCATAAAGATCTTCACATAAATCTTGCACAAAATTCATGTCAGAAATGGAGGGCAGAATCAAGTCTCTTGTTTCTTCAGAAAAAGGAACTTTTGCTTGAGGAAGCCAAGCCCAATGAAATGGATCTAACAAGACACAAAAACATTACGCTAATCAGTGGGGAAACAAACAGATCTTCTGACTCACAGGCTTCCTGGTTCTTTCCCACAACTCCTTAGTTCTCCTCAAACACAGGAGGAGAAAGACGAGTGATCAGAACAGAACTCTTCTTCCTCATCCAGATTCTTCAGATGCAAGTTTCTTCAGATCCAAGTTTGTACAGCAAGATAGTTTGGATAACTGCTTCAGAAGGTGATGCACTGTAAGATGTTACCTGAAACAATCTGGTTCCTGAGTTTTAGAGTAAAGAGGGACAATCTGGATCAGGAGTTTATCTCAACAGCCATTGTCTAAGAAAAACAAAAGTATCTGAATTCATCTGGCTCCTGAATTTGGAAATTGAGGGATACCCAGAGTTTGTTCACAGCCCCAGATCAAACAGCACAGTAAAGGGCTCCCAGCCTCCATCACTCTAAATCATCAGGGACTGACCACCGTGTTTACAGAAGATGCACCACAAGGAGCACAAATGCACAAGCAGATAAACAGGCCAGTAGCTTAGAGGGACAAGAGTCACGGCTGTGGGTTAAATTCTCTCCCAAGAAGATCATTATATTTACTCAGGCTTCGGCTGGAAAGATGTATAAAGTGGCGGGTGGGAGACACATTTCCATGAGAGAAGATGCTTTCTTTTTTTTTTTTAAGTTTTTAGTGTGAATTGAGTAATAGTTTACATGGGAGAACATTGGTTTTACATTCATTGTTTCATTGCAATGATTACAATCCCCTGCATGCATCATCATTCAACAGTATCTGCTTCTATTCCCTCAGTTTTTTTTTTTTTTTGGTGGAGGGGAGCGTACACAAAACCATTCAGGAACATATATATATATATAATCATTCCAACAACTGAAGGCCATATTCTGCAAGCTGGCCTCCTGGTTGCCAGCACACAGCCTTTCTCTTTCCATGAGTCTAGAGTCCTAAGCTGCTCTCTCTCTCCATGCCATCATCTCTTCCTCCATCTCTGGTGTCACTGCTTCTCTGGATAGGGTCCCACATTATGCTTGTGCTCTTCTCCCTTGATGGTCCTAGGGTCCTCTGTTCCTGGACTTTAAGATTAACTACTCCTGTTTTTGTTGCAAAACTTCTACCTTAACAGTTGTGACGATCACAATTAGTCATGATAAAAAGTACTCACGACTGAATCATAAGAGTCTTATCCCCATCCTTTCACCAGATCCATCTAGACAAGATGAAAACTACTCAGTAGATACTTTATCTCCCCCCCCCCCACACTCTTAAACTAAACTCCCTCTTGAAAACTTGTAAGCCAGTCACTTCATACCTTTATAGCCCCTCCCCACGTTAGGTAGCCAATGTCTAAGTTGCCCGTCCCTATCAACCCTGTGTACAGAGGGGATAGGGTTGATCCCTGATGTGAAGAAGTCTCATTGCCTCTCAGTTGATATTTAGAGCTACTACATCCATAAGTATAAGTCAAGTTCATCAAATTGTAGCAATTTACACTTGTTTCCTTTATCAAAACCTTTTTATCTTCCTCTAGTCAAGTTCTGATTATCAAGCCATTGGAACTAGGTCAAATGGGTACTGTCTTCAAGTTTGGGTGTTCTTGTGCATCTCCCCTTACTTCATATCCACTGGATGCTTCACTCTCAGCTCTAGTCCTCTGTAGCTATGTCCTTGTCCATGGGCTCAGGAGTCCCCAGGTCTCACCACACTTCCAACCATCCCTTTCTCTTCACTTTCTCATCTCCAGGTTGACGGGAGTCTATGGAACGTGGCTGAACTCAGCCCATTTCTTCACTGCTGTCTTTCCTGAGAGGATTCATTTTTAGAGCCCTATAACAGTCCTAAAGGAGCTCTGGTAGCATAGTGGTTACGAATAGGGCTGCGAACCTTAAGGCCAGCAGTTCGAAACTACCAGCTATTCCGCGGGAGAAAGATGAGGCGTTCTGCTCCCGTAAAGATTTACAGCCTCGGAAACCCTGTACAGGGTCACTATGGGTCGGAAATGACTCAACGGCACTTAACAACAACATAACAGTCCTAAGGCACTCTGGTAGCGTAGTGGTTACAAATCGGGCTGTGAACCGCAAGGTCAGCAGTTCGAAACTACCAGCGGTTCCGCAGGAGAAAGAGGAGGCGTTTTGCTCCTGTAAAGATTTACAGCCTCGGAAACCCTGTGCAGGGTCGCTATGAGTCGGAACCAACTCCACGGCACTTAACAACAACAACAACAACATAACAGTCCTGGTGTGGCACTATTGGTTAATACGCCAGACTGCAAAGCTGTTTGAACTGCAAGGTCGGTGATTCAAGCTTATCAGCTGCTCCTAGGAAATGCTATACAAGGTCACTATGGTTAGAAGTGACTCAATGGCACTTCACAGCAACACCAACAACTTAAGAGTATTTCAGCTTTATGACAACATGATTACCTAGAATGAGTGGGAAACCTGTTTTCTGCCAATATTTATATCATATGCAGACCATACAAAATTATCAACTTAAAAATTGCCTGCTATATTTGGTCAAATATTTAATTAACTCACCTCTAATTCTATGGGAGTCCTGGTGTGGTGCTGTGGGTTAATGCGCCAGATTGCAAAGCCGTTTGAACTGCAAGGTCAGTGGTTCAAGCTCACCAGCTGCTCCTCAGAAACCCTACACAGGGTCCCTATGGGTTGGCATCGACTCAACAGCACTTAACAACAACAACAATTCGATGGGTGGAGTCCTGGTATGGCGCTGTGGGTTAAAGTGCTAGACTACAAGGTTAGTTTGAACTGCAACATTGGCAGTTCAAACTCACCAGCCGCTCCTCCGAAATCCTACACCAGGTCTCTATGAGTCAGAACCAATTTGACAGCATTTAACAACCTCAACAGCATGGTTTCCTTGAGTGACAGCAAACAACCCATGGATTCAACCATCAGGATAAAGTTTTAAAACTATACCCTCAAACCAATTTTTCCCGTAAGCTCCAAACCCTTACTGGCCAATTATATATTAGATAAAATTTCCTAAGTATATTGAAGGGACCTGAAACAATTAAAATATAATTGGCATAGAGGTTTCAAACTATTGTTGTTAAGTGTCATCGAGTTGGTTCCGACTCATAGTGACCTTATTATACACAATAGAATGAAACACCGCCCGGTCCTGTTTCATCCTCACAATTGTTGTTATACTTGGACCTATTGCTGCTGCCACTGTGCCAATCCATCTCGTTGGGGGTCTCCCTTTTTGGCTGACCTCCACTTAACCAGGGACTGGTCCCTCCTGATAACATGTCTGAAGTATGAGACATGAAGTTTCGTCATCCTGGCTTCTAAGGAACATTCTGGTTGTACTTCTTTAAACACAGATTTCTTTGTTCTTCTGGCAGTCCACAGTACTTTTAATATTCTCCTCCAACAGCATGACTCAAATGCATCAATTCTTCTACTGTCTTCCTTATTCACTGTCTAACTTTCACATACATATGAGGCTACTGAAAATACCATGGCTTGGGTCAGGCACATCACAGTCTTCAAACTGACATCTTTGCTCTTGAACACTTTATTGTTATTATTGTTGGTCTGTGCTGTTGAGTCTGTTATGACTCATAGTGACCCTGCCCAGTGTTTCTAAGGATGGCTGGTGGGTTTGGTTACTGCAGTCCACCACAGCATCACTGGTTGTTGTTGTAAAGTGCCATCAACTCGATTCAGATTCATAGTGACTCTGTATGGGGTTTCTGAGGAGCAGCTAGTGGGTTTGAACTGCTGACCTTGTGGTTCACGGTGCAGTGCTTATCCTACAGCACCATTCCAGGAGTCCAAAGAAATACTATTGTGCTTAAATTATGCTTTATGTATGTGACTTATAAATAGCATTTAGTTATTTTTTTCTCTTTTTTTAACCTCACAAAGAAATTTTAGTGAGGTTATAAGAAAACATGCTGTTTTTAAGTCGTAAATCATAGATAAAAGAAAATGACAGCTGGAGATTACAAATAAAACTATAAAATAATACCAAGTAAGTGCTATTGAAAGACATAACAACATTACAACTGAACAAAAAAGTTAAAAAAACAACAACCACTGACAGGTATGAAGTGGGACATATTTTATATTGATTAAGAGGCTAAGACGATGGACCTTTATGTATATGAAATATAAAGAAAAAACAGAAATAGAGGAAAACTGACAAAAGCAGACACAATGAAAACCTTTCACTTTCCCTTGAAAACTAAAGAGGGAAGTCAGGGATATGATGTGACTAACAAGCCTCAATTAGGAAACAGATACAAAGCTTTGTGCCCAAACACATTCTTTATAAACATAGAATGTCACGGAGGCCATATGTCACATCACAAAGGAATTAATAAGAACTTTCAGAAAGCAGAACTGACACAGGACACACCCAAAGAGCCAGTGCAGTAAGACCGAAACACAAAGATGAGCAGTTACGAAAAAATGTCAAATGAACAAGAAATTTTACAACCAAAGCAAAATACTTTTAAAGAACTCCTGTCCAAGAGGAAGTAAGAAAGTACGAATAAGCCAAACCAAACAATAGAGGCGCACCTGTCCCACATTCGGCTTAGGCAAAATGATACACCCTGAGGAAAGTTCCCGGCTGCTGCATTCCCTGCAAATTCAGCAATACTGAAGGACCATAACTAAAGACAAGGCTAATGACTGAAACATAAATCAATGAAATAGAACATCGCAAACAGGAACAACTGAAAACATGACCAGTAAAATCAAAACGCAATTCTCTGAAAGAGCAAGAAAATAAATAAAAATAAAAGAAAATTTCTACAAGGTGCTAAGATACTCACATGCTCTCCACTCATCAGGGTGTTTAAAAGGAAATGCTAGACCATTATCAATGGCAGCAATTTTAATTAGAGGTTCTTTATCAGCAATCCACATGGCTTCCTAAAGGGGAGAAAAGTAGTCTGTTGGTTAAAAAACATACCAACATTTCCACAGACTAAAGTATTTACAAGAATTATTGACACAGTCACTCTGAGCCTATAAATAATAATTAAAAAAACAACTTGCCATAAAGAGTATGAATTCACTCTGGGAGAAAGGAGAATGTCTTAAAAAGCAGAATGAATTTTATAAACACTGTTTTACAAATTTTACTATTATACATACACATTTTTCTTCTTGTGGGATGTGTTGCTGTTAAGTGCTGTCGAGTCAATTTTGACTCATAATGACTCTGTATAGGATTTCCAAGGAGCAGCTAGTGGGTTTGAACTGCCAATGTTGAGGTTAGCAGTCCTGTGCTTATCCAACAGTGGCACACCAGGACATAGAACTTGGGTATATTAGGGCTTACACAGTTATTTAACGAAAGTCCTTGCTTAAAATCCTATTCGTAAAATACTGATAAGTTTAAGATACCAACTTAACAAAATTATCCTATAAAAATCTAGCCTTCTTCAAAAACAAACTAACAACAAAAACCCCCCTAATCCACTGCTATCACGTTGATTCTGACTATAGCGACCCTATTGGGTTTTTGAGCCTGAAAATCTGAATGGGAGCAGACACTCTCATCTTTCTCCTGCAGAGACGCTGGTGGGTTTGAACTGCTGATCTTGTGGTTAGCAGACCAATAGACTAACCCACATTGCCACCAGGCCAGGATCCATAGCCCTTCCTAGAGTTCCCTATAAGTATAAAATGTCTATAAGTAACATTACCCATAGACAACAGTTAAAAGTATCATAAGTCCAGTAGAGGGAACCTCAACATACTCCTACCTTCTTCTGTAGCAGAAATAAAGACCTCCGGAACCAAGGGTTTTCATGTTAATGAGCATTTCCTGTGTACAGTATTTCACAACAGATGGTTGCATTACTATTTCTATTGTGCTGTATTGAGCTATATCTTCTTTCTTGTCTATTTTTTTGCCTTCCCTTTCACCAAAGTAAATATGTGCCTACCTTCTAATAGACACACAAAAAAAGACCAAAGAAAAATCAGTGCATTTGCATTGTGGTGTTGGCTAGGAACACTGACTATGCCATGGACTGCTGGAAGGATGAAGAGATCTGTCAGTGAAGAAGTACAACCACAGTGCTCCTTGGAAGCAAGGGTACTGACACTGACTTTTCCATACTTTGGACATGTTATCAGGATGGACCAGTCCTCGGAGAAGAGAGTCACGTTCAGTAACGTAGTAAAAAAGAAGACCACAGCGTGGCAGCAGCAGTCGGCTCAGCTGTAAGACCTCCAAGAATGGAACAGGACCAGGCAGTGCTTAGTCTGTTACACACAGGGTCACTATAGGTGGGAACTGACTTGAGGGCATCTAACAACCTAAAACAATTAATTCTGGGGTGAGATGGTATCTCATTGTTATACTGATGTGCATAGCTCTATAATGGCTAAAAACCTAACAACCTTATGCACAGCAGTGGAACAATGTCCGATATCAGGGCGCAAGATAAGCCCCTCAGGTGGGGTGGGATTGGAAGGCACTCAAATACAACTGGGCAACTGGATGGAGTAAAGCTTTCGAGACCTTCTATTACTATTGGGGCACAACACAAAATGAGAGAAACAGCTGCAAACATCCACTCATAACCAGAATGTGGAATGTACGAAGTATAAGTATAGGAAACTTGAAAATCATTCATCAAAAATGAAGTAGAAGGCAGTAAGATCAATATCCTGGTCATTAGTGAGCTGAAATGGACTGGAATTGACCATTTTGAATAGGGCAATCATATGCTGAGAATGGCAAAGCGAAGAGGAATGGTATCACATTCATCATCAAAAAGAGCAAGGAAAGATCTACCATGCAAAGCAGCACTGACTGTGATGACATCCATACACCTACAGAGAACACCAGTAAATACTAGGATCATTGAAATGTACTCACCAACCACTAGAACCAATGATATGAATAATTTACCAACTTCTTCAGTCTGAAATTGAACAAACACATGACCAAGATGCATTGATAAGTACTGGTTGGTGGAATGCCAAAGTTGGAATCAAAAGGAAGGACAAGTAGTTGGAATTTATGGCCTTGGTGCTAGAAATGATGCTGAAGACGCCATGACAGAATTTTGTATAAGACCACTGAAATATTCACTACAAATAGCTTTTTTTCACAACATAAAAGGAGACTAAACGCCTGCACCTCACCACATGAAATACACAAAATAAAATTGACTACATCTGTGGGAAGAGATGAAAGAGATGCCCCACATCATCAACTGATACAATGCCGGGGGCAGACCGTGGAACAGACGATCAATTTGCTCATATGAAAGTTGAGGCTTAAGTTGAAGAAAGTTAAAACAAGTTCATGAGTGCCAAAGTATGACCTTGAGTTTATCTCACCTGAATTTAGAGACCATCTCAAGAATAGATTGGATGTATTAGACACTAAGACCAATGGCCAGAAGAGTTGTGGGATGACATCAAGAACATCATACAGGAAAGAAAGCAAAAGATAGGAAAGAAAGAAAAGACTAAAAAAGATGTTCAAAAAGACTGAAACGTGCTCTTGAACGCAGAGAAGTTAAAACAACTGGAAGAAATGCTGAGGAGCTGAAGAGAACATTTCAAAGGTCAGCTGGAGAAGACAAAGTCAAATCTTATAATGAATGTGCAAAGACCTAGGATTGCAAAGTCAAAATGGTAAAACACACTCTGCATTTCTCAAGTTGTAAGAACTGAAGACAAAATTCAAGCCTCCACTTGAAATACTGAAGGATTCTATGGGCAACATACTAAATGACGCAGGCAGCATGAAAAGAAGATCGAAGGAATACACAGAGTCACTGTACCAAAAAGAATTGATGAATGTTCAATCATTTCAAGAGCTACCATATGATCGAGAACCAATGGTATTAAAGGAAGAAGTCCAAGTTGCACTGAATGTATTTATGAAACACAAGGTTCCGGGAGACAAACTGAAATATTTCAACAAATTGATGTCTATGCCAAGAAATTTGGAAGACGGCTTCCTGGTCAACAGAATGGAAGAGATCCATATTTGTGCCCTTTCCAAAGGGAGTTGATTCAAGAGAATGTGAAAATCATCAAGTAATATCATTAATGTTGTTGTTGTTGTTAAGTGCCGTTGAGTCGGGTCCGACCCATAGCGACCCTGTACAGGGTTTCCAAGGGTGTAAATCTTTACGGGAGTAGAAAGCCTCATCTTTCTCCCGCGGAGCAGCTGGTAGTTTCGAACCGCTGACCTTAAGGTTCGCAGCCCGATTCGTAACCACTACGCTACCAGAGCTATCATTAATATATCACATAATTAAAATTTTTCTGAAGATAATTTAAAAAGTTGTAGCAGTACATCTACGGGGAGCTGCCAGACATTCAAGCTGGATTACGAAGAGCTCTTACCAGATGGATCATTGCTGAAGGCAGAGAATACAAGAAGTCTACTTTATTAACTATGCAAAGGCATTCAAATCGTGTGGATCAGAACTACGAATAATATTGCCAAAACTGGGAATTCCAGAGCATTTAATTGTAGTCATGAGGAACCTATACACAGACCAAGAGACAGTAGTTTAAACAGAACAAAGGAACACTAATTGGTTTAAAATGTGCACGGGTGGTATCCTTTTACCACAATTATTCAATCTGTATGCTGAGCAAATAATCCCCAAAGCTTGATTTTATGAAGAAGGTGGCATCAGGATTGGAGGAAGACTAACTAGCAACCTGCAATATGCACATGACACAACCTTGCTTTTTAGAAGTGGAGAGGACTTGAAATACTGGTGAAAATCAGATTATAGCCTTTAGTTTGGATTGCACCTTAGTGTAAGGAAAACAAAAATCCTCCCAACTGAACCAATAAATAACATCATGATAAACGGAATAAGACTAAAGATGTGAAAGACATCAATTTACTTAGATACACAATTAAGACTTATGGAAGCAGCAATCAAATCAAATAACATACTGCATTGGGCTAATCTGCTACACAAGGCCTCTTTAAAGTGTTCAAGATTAAATATTTTACTTTTTATTGTTATTGTTACTGCTAAGTGTCATGGAGTGGGTTCCAACTCATAGCGACCCTGTATAGGGTTTCTGAGAAGCAGCTGCTGAGTTTGAACCACCAACCTTGCAGTTCAAACCAACCTTATGGTCGTGTGCTTATCCTATAGCACCACACCAGGACTCTCATATGTATGTGTATCTACACATACGTAGACATACATATGCATACATATATATATATATAGAGAGAGTGAGCATGTGCGTGCTGGTAGCATACTGGTTACAAGCCAGGCTGCTAATTTCAAGGTCAGCAGTTCAAAACTACCAGGTGTCCCACAGGAGAAAGAGGAGGCTTTCTGCTCCCATTAAGATTTACAGTCTTGGAAACCCTATGCAGGGTCATTATGAGTTGGAACCGACTCCATGGCACACCACCACCACATATATGTTGTTGTTAAGTGCTGTGGAGTCGGTTCCAACCCATAGCGACCCTGTATAGGGTTTCCAATGAGTGGCTGGTAGGTTTGAATGACCAACATTGTGGTTGAAACTGCCCTTCTGGTCCAGCGCATTATCCCGCAGTGCCACACCAGGACTATAAAAGTATATGTAGACATTTGTATATTTTTTATTTTTTCTCACCTTAATTTCAGTTTCCTTTCTATGACTCAGCTTCTCACATTTGATTAACCAATTATCATTGCCTCTGTCTTTTAAAGCAAACAAACAAACAAACAAAATCCGTTACTTCATTTTTATGGACATGATTAATATCAAGCAGAAAAATCTACTTACCTCTTATTGAGACCTTCAGATTAATGGAGATTGATTATTTGTGGCATATGTTTATCCTATTAAGGTCCCAATCTAATACACTCAAACATTTATGAGAATTTATTCTGTCGGATGTTGTTAGTCCTTGTATGTACTAATATGTTTGATCTTCATAGCCTCCCACTCTTTGAAGTAGATACAATTATTATCAAGAGTTATTTATCAGGGTTATTAAAATCAAATTCAACGTCATCAAGTGTATTTCTGAGCAGACTCACCTAAAGTCAGTTGAGGAGTCCTTTAACTGTACAGTAACTTTAATATTAGTCTAAGGGCACATTAAGAAGGTAAATCTAAAAAATAAGTATGTTTCAGAAACAGATACAGACAAAAGTTCTCAAACTTCAGAGCGCATCAGAATGACCCAGAGATTTCATTAAAACACAAATTCCTGAGGGCCACCCACAGAGTTTCTGCTTCAGTTCTCTGGGGTGGGGTCCACAGAGCTTCCTGGAAAACGCTGACTTTCCAGGCTAGAGAACCACATTTTGGAACCCATGTTTTAGGCACTTACATCATGGCTCCCTTCCAGCAGCAGAACAAAATAATTCAAAATATAAAACACTTCATACAATTCAAGTTGTACTTACCCATATTCTGCACATGTTTGCTGTTGTTGTTGGCTGCCTTAAAATAGATTCTGACTCATTATGGCCCTATAGGCCAGAGCAGAAGGGCTCACTCAAGTTTCTAAAGGGGTCATCTTTATTCCCATGAAGGGGCTGGTGGGTTTGATTTGAAAACTTATCGGTTAGCAGACTTAATCACATTGCCACCAGGGTGAGTTTTAAGAACTGGCTTTAGTTTGCTGCTAGGAAATAGACTTTTCCCCCTGGGCCACAAATGCAAACATCTATGTAATCTCTTATGGCCAGGGCCAGAGCCTGCTAGGACTGGAATCTCCAGGACTGGGCAGATCCCACCCCATGTGGTCAATGCCACATCTCTCCTTCTAATGCAAGTAGAGAAAGTGGCCTCAAAATTGTGCTTCAATACAGCACGTCTTTGATTTGGATGACATAGAACTGAATATAGTTTGAGAGCTAACAAGATGAGGAAACAAATGAGAAAACTTCAATACCTGTATTTCTGATGATGTAATCCAAAACAACTAATTTTTCAAACTGTGACTGAAATTGTTTTCTGATATTCTCAGGCAGAGGGTCAGCTTCAAATTTCCTAAGCCAATATTCCGCCTCCCTGTAATCTTCAACAAATAACTGAAAGGAACCAACCTGCAATTTTAAGAACCAGAATTAGAAAAGAAAGTACAAGAACAAAGGGATTAATTAAAAAAAAAAATTTTTTTTTAATGTTTTTATTGTGGATTGAGTGAAAGTTTACAGGGCAGATCATCAATTTTACATTCAACAAATCATAAAATTTATTTCATTACAATGATTATAATCCCCTCCATGTACCATCAGTTAACAGTATTTCTCTCTATTCACTTTGGATTTTTTTTTTAAAAAGAAAGAAACAAACAAACCATTCAGGCATATATAATAATTTACACCTTCAAAGGGCACATTCTGCAAATCTGCCTCCTGGCCACTGGCTCTTTCTTAGTTCTTCTCTTTCCATGAATCTAGAGGCCTCAGCCGCCCACTCTCCATGAGTGTAGGTCAGGTTCATCAAATTGTAGCAATTTACCCTTGTTTCCTTTATCAAAAACACAATTTTTTTTTTTTTTTAAATTAATCTTCCTCTAGTCGAGCTCTGATTATCAAGCCATCGAGGCTAGGTCAAATGAGTACTGTCTGCAAGTTTGAGTTTTCTTGTGCATCTCCCCTCACTTCATATCAGCTGCATGCTTCACTCTCAGCTCTAGCTCTCTGTGGCTATGTTGTTGTCCATGGGCTCAAGTGTCCCTAGGTCTCACCACACTTAGAACCAACCAGCCCTTCTTCTTCTCTCTCTCATCTCCAGGTCAATGGGAGTCAATGGACTCTGGTTGAACTCAGCCTATTTCTTCATTGCTGCCTTTCCCCCTCTTCCACTTACCGGTAGACCAATGTGGTCATCAGCAAGCTTACATGCCTGCTCATGTGTTCCCTTTGAGTTTCAGTCTTAGAGAGGAGTTTGTTTTGAAGGAATTTGATTGCTTGCTTTGATGGCTTCCCAGTGAACAGCTTTCTTATTCTTGTAGTAGCCAGTCATGCGGACATTTTTGTTTTGGGTTTTTCTTGATGATCTTTCTTTGAAGATGTATTTTCTGTTGCTCTAGCTGTTCCAGGCTGGTCTGCTTGTCCTTGCTAGTGGGAAGGTTCAACCTCATAAGGTTATAGATGGGACTTAAGATTCCACCTAAGGTTCTATACTCTGCAAAGACTTTGCAAGAGGCCTATTTCACTGGGCAAGTTCTAGAACCCCTTTTAGGTATTCCAATCAGTTATAGGTTGAAGATGGGCTTATAAGTTTTCTGTAATCATGTTTCCCAAGATTCCTTTCTATCCCACTCAAGTGTCTATTTTACAATAGTAGGCAAGGGAAATCAATATTTACAAGACAGTCAAGCATTTTAGTATTATTTCCCCTTTTCAAACTATGCCTAGATCCCTGAATAACAGAGCTCTGATGTTCTAAGTTTGAGCATGCATCATTATTTACCTCTGTCCCACTTAAGCCATACAAATCTGTCTCAGTGTTCCCCTAGCTACCTTGTTCTTCCACCTCCTCCCCCTTCTTGTATTGCCCTCCCCAACCCCCAAAGTAAACCCCCCACCCCAACCCCACTGTTGTGGTTACCTTATATCCCATTAACTTTTCCCTCCATTTAAGACAGTCGATTTTATCCCGTAATCTACCTGACATTCTCACCACCTGGATCTCTATTCCTTTGTGTTTACCTACTTTCACTTTGTAATTGTTTTGATCATAGACTGACCTCCCAGATCCTCTGTTCTTATCATTTTAGTCTGTTCTTGACTCTTCCATTTGTTGATTGAGTTCAGGGTGATGCTGCCACATACGTCATTCTCTGGTTGTTGTCTGTTCTTGTTGGTTCTCAGTCCACAGAACTTCTTTAGGATGCTTTTCATAGCAGGGTTGGCTTTGGCAAAATCCCTTAGCTTCTGTTTATCCTGGA